CAGGTGCTCTAAACATGTCAGCTTGACACCCAAACATTTATCAAGTTCTGTAAATATAAATACACTTTAAGACTAAGTAGTCTAATTAATATGTTGTTGAAATTGTGACTTTGAAGTGAATGATTGTACAGATGTAGTTTTTATCATGGCAACAGTTTTAATTTGTTTTGATTATTTATGGTAGAAAGTCGACTGAGCTTGTGAGATTGGATTACATGTTTCAATATTTAAAATTTAGGTCAGCTTTAACCAGACAGTCTCTTTACCGTGTACGTTAGATCATTTAATATAATTTTAATCAATGTGAATATTTTTATTCTTTGTGTTATCATGGTATTAACAACAACGCCTTACACAAGCCTGAAAGAAACGAAAATATCCCCGGTAGTAGTGTTACGTTTCAATCATTACACTGAACAAGCTTTCGGTATTAGTATCATTGTTATTTAAAAACCTATATATGATATCTACTGTCTAATTATCTACCCCTGGCAACACACCTGTAACACAGCGTAACGCTAGACCAGATAGAGATATCGGCCATTAAAACAAGAGGGACTGATAAGTTTGTGGGGATTACCTGTAGTCAGTGATACAGGTGTGAACGACCGTCATCCCCCCGGGGGACAAGCATATACAGACATCATGGCCTCTCGCATTACATTCCAGTCTGGGAGCATTGATCTACCCCCCATTCCAAATTCTGGATATGCACAGTCAGGTAATTATATCTCGTTAAAGGTATACCTATCATTTATCTTACTGGAGATATAATGAAGTCAGGATAACTGTATCGTGTTCAGTGACGGCCTCATTACCATTTTTGTCTGTCTTGTATGTATTAAACTATAGTAACATTTAAACTATCTGTTTCTGGGTTTAAATGATTAACTGCTCAAATGATTTAATCAGAATCCGTTATTACAATGTTCTTATTTTGATACATGTATCTTTCAATATTCAGTATTCATAAATCAGCGATCGTCTTAGTGCTGACTTTTCAATCTGTGTGTAGAAAAAAAGATGCTGAGTTATCCTATCCAGCAAATTACCTCCCTTGTGGTGTCGCCAGTAAATTACCTCCCTTGTGTTGAAACCAAAAAATTAACACCCCTTGTGATGACAACAGAAAATTAGCACCCCTTGTGGTGTCACCAGTAAATTACCTTCCTTGGTGGTGACAACAGTAAATTACCTCCCCTTGTGGTGACACCTGTAAATTTCCTCCCCTTGTGGCAACACCATTAGATTACCTCCCTTGGGCATGATGAAGTTAACATAAGATTCCGAATATAAAAATGGAAGCAAAATTGTGAATTTTTGAAGGAACTTCACTATTATCATTTTAGTTAATTTGAATTTGTTCACATTTGATGATGTACTTGAGAGGAAACTAAGGATCGAATTCTCGAATCTTGCTTGCTCATCACTTTATTTGACAATCAATATAGCTGTATTCCTTAACATATTGACCTGAGCTCCCTCGGCAGAATTTATAAATCCTGTGTAAGATACAGCTATAAATAAATATACTACTTATTTCTAATCCACACATACCTTTGTATTACAGGTAAACGTGAAATCAATTTATACTGCTGACAATCAAATTGAGTTTTATTCCTGTCAATTTTTATGAGACTGTTTACCTGTGTATACGGTGTTAAACCAATACTGCTAGATTAACAGGCTGACATGTGACCTAAGTGTAAGGACTTGAAAAGTTTATATCTGTGTCAAAACTTATCGTTGTGTGTTTTGGACGTAAATGTAAACCCTTGGAAAGACACTGAGTCGGTCAATATCCCGCAGTAAAAGGCATTAAGTATTAACATGGCACTCAGGTGAAAGTTAGAGTGGATTTAGTTTATACACAAATTGTTTTATTAATCGGAGACTTTAGATTTTACAAGGTGTGAGTGAGTCATACAGTTGTTCTTATATACATATACGTATGGAGACTTAAGATTAGGCCAATACACTTTCTGTTGTTTATATTACTATTTATCACACGAGTGACTCCTTTTACTTCTAAGTGACACATTAGCAATATATTGCTACATAACATTTTACATGTGATTAATATTTTCATGAATCTGTTCTCATGCTGAGATTCTGTGCTCGTTAGCAAGATTTCTTGTTTCAATTACAAATGAATAAAAAGTCACATTTTGTCAATAATTTGGGAGAACTTTGAAGAAAATTAAAGCTGTATTCATTTTTCGATGTTTACATTTGACTATTTTGCTGTCTCTCATGATTTAGGTAAGTTAGTGTGTGTGCAAAATCTATGTGTGAGCATGAGAATGGTTTTATGAATACAGGCCCAGGTGAGAGTTATCAGAATCCCTTAAGCATCGTTCTTATGTACATTTCAACTGTATAATTTAACTAGTCAAGTCCAAAATTGTTCCTGAAAGACATTTAACAGCTTAGAATGGCCCCCCTGTCTCTAGAATATTCAATTATTTAGAAGGGCCTGGTAGCCATTCCAGCTTTCTTAGCGCAAACCAATTTTACAAAGATTGATTGATTGATTGTTCAATGATGATGACATGGTAGTGTGATGNGTTGATTGATTGATTGATTGTTCAATGATGATGACATGGTAGTGTGATGGTCATTTTAAAGTTCCGTCTGAAGTTTGTAACACTGGACATAGCACACACCACCCTGTCACATTCTTCTGATAATGATCAAATAAGGCCAGCTCTTCTCATGCTCAAACTCAAGTTTCTGCTCATTCCAATTCTTGTGATGGGATCAAATGGTAAACATTTTATTTTGGAATGGTACTCAGCTACAAGTGTTGACTTAGTACCTACAAAATAATGGGCACAATAGTTGAGTTTGAGCATAAGCCATTACAATATGGTTTTATAGATACAGGCTAATCAGAGTTAGTAAAGATAATTAATGCAAAAGAAATGTAGCAGAAATGTCTTACCATTTTACAAGAATCCATTTTATCTTTGAAGGTAACAATAATATACGAGTAAATTATTTCTATCAAAAAAATCTTGATATCATTACATTTTTCGTTTACCTTTTACTGTAATGTAGTAAACTGAAACTAAAAAAACCTGTTTTATTCTGGACAAAATTTTAATTACGGTATGGGTTCTTTTCATGCATGTACTTAGGGTAGTAGGTTGTCATATAATATGTTATACAGAATATTTTGTATCACCTGTAATTTCACACAGACATTGATCTCCAGGTGTGATTCAGTATACGTGACGGTAGTTTTTTTAACGTAATTGACAGGTAGGTAGGAGGTCAATTATTTTAGATATCATTTGAATTTCCAATTTTGTTGTCAGTGTCATAATTTAAAAAACATATAAGTTAAATTTAAAATATTTTGATTTTGAAGAGATAATTGTCCTTTTCAATGTGAAAAAAATTGCACACTAGTGTACTTTATATCTTTTGTACTCAGTTATTAGCTTGGAGGGAGGGGGGTCCAAGATAATCAATCAGTTAGTCTTACTTTAAATAATACAAGATTTTGACATTCAGAACTCAAAATGTAAATATTTTCATTTCAGAATTTATGAAATGAAAGTCTTGATATTTAAATGCAGTTTTTTGTCAATGTGTATTGTCAAACTTTTGTAAACTGATTCCAGAAAACATAACACAATGGTATCTATCAAGTGTAACGTCCCTCTACAACCACATTGAAGTCTTCTGTTGTTGAAGATCAGGTAGTCAATCTCTTACTGTAAAACCAACAATAGTAATTGTCCCTGACTGTTGTAGTACACAATCAAATATTTTGTTTTTCTTAAAGCTGAATGTTCAATTATATATTGTGATTCATTGCAAACTTTTTGTTGAGACAGATCTAAAGGAACTGAGAACACAGAGTTCAGCACAGAATCTTTTGTGCACAATATCTAATGTTGGCTCTGGTTACACAAAATAGGTGCTACCTTTTTTTCAAAATTGGTTTTCCCCATTAATTAATTTGTTTACACAAGATCAAATTTTACTTGACAGAAATAAGGAAAATTAATTTCATTTATTTTTATGATTACACCTTGCTGCATGACAGACCCAAGTACATATATTTTATAATGTAAGAATTCATTGTGTCTGTCCGAAACCCACAAATTGATAACCTATATAATTTGAACTGATTTTCATATTTGGAAAAAAATGAAAAAGAAAATGAAAAATGTTAAAAAATTATGTGACCAATCCTTACAGTTACTTCAGACTAACACCTTTTAAATCTTACAAGATTTCTGATATACGGTTGAAGGGTTGATGTAATTCTTCTAATCTCCTAATTGCCATCCTGTAACTGTTCAAATACACTTAATGTAAATTGCTTGTAAATTCCAGAGTCTTACAAATATTGGTTCTAAGGTGTGGAGGGTTACCTAGTGCAGTATTGATTTAATAACAGACTAATTTACCACTCTATACCTTTCTACTCAAATCCTCGTTCACTTCAGGTTACCATTGTCACCTTTGGGATTTTTTGTTCAACTCTTGTACCCCTATGTAACTTTAGTAGACTCTACCAGGCATTGATATGGATGAGTCCATTATGATCTGCAGTGGTGAAAGGGTTAAGTCTATTTCAAAAGAAGTATACCATAAAAATTGCATGTTCCTATGTATTTTACAGAATTATAGTTGTTTGAAGTTTGAATGCTTGATATTAAAATTGAAAAGAAAGAAAGAAAAACTACAGGGTACAACTTAGGACCTTACACTGGCACAGCCTAGCTTCACTTGTTGCCATTCAGGAATTACAAAATCAGTGCCCATTTTTTAGGGCACAAATGAAGCCTATGATAATAGAATTGAACATTCAAAGAGACACAACTTGAAGGGGAAGGTTACTTTAAGCATCAGAACAGGAAATATTCAGCTGTTATAGTTTGATATCTGTCACAGTGTGAAAGAAATAGTTTTATCAAGTTGATTAAAATTCAATATCTCGCTTTCAAAATTTTGATAAAAAAATCTTGTTTTATATTTTTCAGTGACCTCATCGCGACTGGAAGCACTTTCACAGCCTAGACGAGCTATCTATTACAAGGGAGACAGGTAATTATTTAACTTTATATATTAGAAAATCTAGTCATATTAAAGCAGAAATAATAGCAAGATGGAAATTCCAGTAAATAAAATCTCAATAATTGTGAATTCCCCAGTCTATGTTATTAATGCCTGGATGTAACTGGCCCCTTGTCTCTAGAATATTGAGTTATTCAGAAAAAACCCACCTCAAATTGATGTCTGATTCTAGTTCTAAAACTAGGGGAGATAAGCTAGTAGTAAAAACAGTCTAGCTTTGATGCAGTACAGTGGAAACAAATTTGGGAACTGGCCGGGGTTGGTGAGAAGGGGTAGGGGATCATTAGGGGTGGGAATAAGTGAGTGGGATGGTCATAGACAATGTGTGTGTAATATTCTGTTTATCAGTGATTTTGATACTCTGTAAAAAGTAGGTAAAACTTGTACTTCTGTTTCGTTGAATTGCTCTGGAAAAATATTTTCTTGCTTTTGCAAAATTATAACAGCATGTTGCTCTATGATTGGCGATTCTAGTGGCTTCAAGTTTTTGCCATGGTTTTGTCCGGGTAACGAGTATAAAAAGGTTTCGTAAGTTTGCGTAATTCATATTTCATTATTTCAGTTTATTATATCTCACCTATTATCTGAAATTTAGTTGAATGCGTTTTATTGACAGTTAAAACCCATTAGTTCAACCATTCACCATAGGCTTTTATTGATTATGAACGTTGTATAAGTGATGAGCAAATATGAATTATTTGAACATCAGAATACCATTATATATAGGATGATCTAAAAGGTTTCTTTCCCCGTCCAGGGGGCTGAATGTACATTTAATTCAATATAAAATGCATTAGAACTGTGTCACATGACAATAATTGGTGTGACGCAGATAATAATGATGGCTTTGAGAGTTTCTTGTCTAAAATTCTAAAACGTTCCTTTTTATAATCAATTTCTATTATGAAAATGCAATGTTTCTGTGAAGATTAAATTGATTCAGATATTGTATTATGTTAGACATTCTTTGACATTAATTAAAACAATAAGTCTTTTAAATGAGGTCATTAAGGAATGAGATTGAATATCAAATAATTGATTGTTAGTCAAAACGGACAGTGAAAGTCTGAAAAAAACCCTTATTTTCTGATTCTATTATATAATATTCTATTGTAATGATTTTAAGTGAATCAGTAAAAAATGAGAGAAAAAATGCATAACTGATCAGTATTTTCAATAAAATTTGTTTCAATGGATAGAGGTATCTAGAACCTGAGTGCTGGTCCATTTCATCATACATTTGTGTTTATGCTGAGGAAACTTTTTCATTATCTGCATTATGTTGAACCAAGTTATTTTGCTCAGATGTCCAAATGGTTGCTTTGTCCTATAATTTGTTCTTTATTTGACCTGATAATTAAGCCCTTAAATCCTTTTTTTGGCTAAGTACCTTATCCCTTCACAATAATTTCCCCATTTACTCGACAAAGTATCCATATCTTCAACAATTTACATGGAAAAAAAATCCTGTTTTGGCTATTTTTTTGAGAATTTTAGAAATCATTCAAATTTTCCCAAATTGCATAGTATGAGGGCATTAATTAAAAGGTCAAATTTGGTATGTACAATGTAAGTAAAAACTAAATCAGTATGTAGTTATATATTTATTCTTAAATGTCAATCATTTTCAGCTTACCAGTAATTCCAAATGGTAACAGGTAAACAAATTATGAAAGGGAAAAAAAATGAAAGAAAATATTTGCATGACATTTACTGTAGCCTAGAACACAGTAACAATTAATCAAATTCTACTTACAGAGTTGGTCAAATATCACTCTGGTAATTCAAAATGTTTTGCATGACCCCATCAACAATTTGAGAAATTTAGGACAATAATAATTCAGATGTAGTAATGAAATAAAATATTTTCAACTTATGTATTTATATATGCAGCTGTTAATTTTACAATTCCATTTTAAGCATTGGTTTAATAAGATTCTTCTTTGAAACTAACTTTTATTCATATTGTAACAGAGATAACACCCCCCCCCCTCTTTTTGTATAAAACCTTCAAGGATAATAATATTTGTTTAGGTAAAAATTGTGTTCATCAATTTATTTGTAAACTTGAAGAGTGATATGGATTATATTTTGTTTTATTTTGATATTTATATCATAACTGTCAAAATTAAAAGTGAATGGTATGGGATTGACTTGACTTAAAAAAATATCACGTGTGATGTTCATAGAATAAGGATATAGCCCAATTCTTCTCCTGATAGAAATATGAACATAGTTATTTCATACAACTCATCCCCCTTCCCAACAAACAGACAGAACAATGCTTATTGCATGGATTATAATCTTAACTGGATTACAGTCATTCAAACTATTTTTGGAAGTCAGAAATTTTAATTTAAAGTCATGTATTTTGATTGGCTTACTAATATTTCTGTAGAAATATAAAGGATTCATTACCAGAAAAGAAAAATCAATAGATGTGGTATTTAAAAGCCTATTTATTTTGAGGTTCATTGAGATAATGACTCCATTACCAAAGATCATAAACAGGTTCATAGAGGCCATGAACCAGTAGAATCGGATCAGAAACTATGCTGACTGATCCTTTGAAAAACAGGTTCTGAGGGTTGACAGAAGAACGAGTGGGAAACTTGTTATAACCTAGATATACTGGCATACTGTATACCAGGTCACTTTCACAGCTGTTTAACTTTTGCCTTTTTCGACCTCCCCATCGAGGGAGAATTTATAATGACAGTGATTTGTACACAACATGTAATATATAGTAATTTCATGTGAAGGGCGAAAATTGATTTGATCGGAAAAGGGTGAATACTTTACTTGGTGAAAGTTTCTTGTATACAGTATGTATATATATATATATTTACAAATAAGTGTCTTTCCTGTATGTTAGATGATGGTGTATGGTGTTCGATTATTCAATCTATGTATACATTATATAATGGTAACATGATCCTGGCGACTCTAACATGTGTTTCTCAGTGTTTGTGTGACTCATTAGTAACTCGATCATTAGAATTAAATTTAATGGAGTTGGTAGATGAAAACGAGAACTGTACCTTCCAGAAAATTAAAGCAGCATACCTGTGCTTAACAAAATCAGCCCTCCCATTTCTCATTTGGAAATGTCCAATATGCGCTCTCCTTGTGCTGGGCTACAGTCTCAACTGTCTCCAACAGATTGTCCCCTTTGTTTTCAGTTAATTGGACATGATTGTCTTTATGTCTCTTCTAATTGATTGTCCTTTTTGACTTATGTTGATTAAATCTGTTTGTCTCATTGTCTCCAATGAATTGTCCTCTTTGTCTGTTGTTGATAAGACTCAATAGTCTCCCAATGTCTCCAATGAATTGTCCTCTGTGTCTTCTGTTTATTAGACCTGATTGTCACAATGTTGCCAATGAATTATCCTCTTAGTCTGTTGTTGATAAGACTCAATAATCTCACAATGTCTCCAATGAATTGTCCTCTATGTCTTCTGTTTATTAGACCTGATTGTCACAATGGTTCCAATGAATTATCCTCTTAGTCTGTCGTTGATAAGATAGTCTCACAATGTCTCCAATGGTTTGTCCTCTTTGTCTTTTATTGATTACACTGAACAGTCTCACAATGTCTCCAATGGATTGCCCTCTTTGTCTTTTATTGATTACACTGAACAGTCTCACAATGTCTCCAATAAATTGTCCTCTTTGTCTGTCGTTGTTAAGACTCAATAGTCTCACAATGGCTCCAATGGATTGGCCTCTTTGTCTGTCGTTGGTAAGACTCAATAGTCTCACAATGGCTCCAATGGATTGGCCTCTTTGTCTGTCGTTGGTAAGACTCAATAGTCTCACAATGCCTCTAATGAATTGTCCTCTTTGTCTGTCGTTGTTAAGACTCAATAGTCTCACAATGGCTCCAATGGATTGGCCTCTTTGTCTGTCGTTGGTAAGACTCAATAGTCTCACAATGGCTCCAATGGATTGGCCTCTTTGTCTGTCGTTGGTAAGACTCAATAGTCTCACAATGCCTCTAATGAATTGTCCTCTTTGTCTGTTATTGATAAGACTCAATAGTCTCACAAGGTCTCCAATGGATTGTCCTCTTTGTCTGTCAATGATAAGACTCAATAGTCTCACAATGCCTCTAATGAATTGTCCTCTTTGTCTGTCGTTGTTAAGACTCAATAGTCTCACAATGTCTACAATGGATTGTCCTCTTTGTCTGTCATTAATAAGACTCAATAGTCTCACAATTCTGTTGATTACACTCATTGTCTCACAATGTCTCTAATGGATTGTTCTCCTTGTCTTCTGTTGATAAGACTCAATAGTCTCCCAATGTCTCCAATGAATTGTCCTCTATGTCTTCTGTTTATTAGACCTGATTGTCACACTGGTGCCAATGAATTATCCTCTTAGTCTGTAGTGGATAAGACTCAATAGTCTCACAAGGTCTCCAATGGATTGTCCTCTTTGTCAGTCGTTGATAAGACTCAATAGTCTCATTGTCTCCAATGGATCGTCGTCTTTGTCTGTCGTTGATAAGACTCGATAGTCTCACAATGTCTCCAGTGGATTGTCCACTTTGTCTGTCGTTGATAAGACTCGATAGTCTCACAATGTCTCCAATGGGTTGTCCTCTTTGTCTGTCATTGATAAGCCTCAATAGTCTCATTGTCTCCAATGGATCGTCGTCTTTGTCTGTCGTTGATAAGACTCATTAGTCTCACAATGTCTCCAATGGGTTGTCCTCTTTGTCTGTCATTGATAAGACTCAATAGTTTCATTGTCTCCAATGGATTGTCGTCTTTGTCTGTCGTTGATAAGACTCAATAGTCTCACAATTCTGTTGATTACACTCATTGTCTCACAATGTCTCTAATGGATTGTTCTCCTTGTCTTCTGTTGATAAGACTCAATAGTCTCATTGTCTCCAATGGATTGTCGTCTTTGTCTGTCGTTGATAAGACTCGATAGTCTCACAATGTCTCCAATGAATTGTCCTCTTCGTCTGTTATTGATAAGACTCAATAGTCTCACAAGGTCTCCAATGGATTGTCCTCTTTGTCAGTCGTTGATAAGACTCAATAGTCTCCCAATGTCTCCAATGAATTGTCCTCTATGTCTTCTGTTTATTAGACCTGATTGTCACAATGGTGCCAATGAATTATCCTCGTAGTCTGTTGTTGATAAGACTCAATAGTCTCACAAGGTCTCCAATGGATTGTCCTCTTTGTCTTCTGTTGATTACACTCAATAGTCTCACAATGTCTCCAATAGATTGTCCTCTTTGTCTTCTGTTGATTACACTCATTGTCTCACAATGTCTCTAATGGATTGTTCTCCTTGTCTTCTGTTGATAAGACTCAATAGTCTCACAATGTCTCCAAAGAATTGTCCTCTTTGTCTGTCGTTGATAAGACTCAATAGTCTCACAATGTCTCTAATGAATTGTCCTCTTTGTCTGTCATTGATAAGACTCAATAGTCTCACAATGTCTCCAATAGATTGTCCTCTTTGTCTGTTGTTGATAAGACTCAATAGTCTCACAATGTCTCCAATGGATTGTCCTCTTTGTCTGTCAATGATAAGACTCAATAGTCTCACAATGTCTCCAATAGATTGTCCTCTTTGTCTGTCATTGATAAGACTCAATAGTCTCACAATGTCTCCAATGGATTGTTATCATTGTCGTTAATAAGACTCAATAGTCTCACAATGTCTCCAATGGATTGTCCTATTTGTCTGTCATTGATAAGACTCAATAGTCTCACAATGTCTCCAATGGATTGTCCTCTTTGTCTTCTGTGTTTATTAGACCTGATTGTCACAATGTTGCCAATGAATTATCCTCTTAGTCTGTCGTTGATAAGACTCAATAGTCTCACAACGTCTCCAATGGATTGTCCTCTTTGTCTGTCGTTGGTAAGACTCAATTGTCTCACAATGTCTCCAATGGATTGTCCTCTTTGTCTGTCGTTGATAAGACTCGATAGTCTCACAATGTCTCCAATGGATTGTCCACTTTGTCTGTCGTTGATAAGACTCATTAGTCTCACAATGTCTCCAATGGATTGTCCTCTGTGTCTGTCGTTTATAAGACTCAATAGTCTCACAATGTCTCCAATGTATTGTCCTCTTTGTCTGTCGTTGATAAGACTCAATAGGCTCACAATGTCTCCAATGGATTGTCCTCTTTGTCTGTCGTTGATAAGACTCAGTAGTCTCACAATGTCTCCAATGGATTGTCCTCTGTGTCTGTCGTTTATAAGACTCAATAGTCTCACAATGTCTCCAATGGATTGTTATCTTTGTCGTTAATAAGACTCAATAGTCTCACAATGTCTCAAATGGGTTGTCCTATTTGTCTGTCATTGATAAGACTCAATAGTCTCACAATGTCTCCAATGGATTGACCTCTTTGTCTGTCGTTGATAAGACTCAATAGTCTAACAATGTCTCCAATGGATTGTCCTCTTTGTCTTTTGTTGATTACACTCAATAGTCTCACAATGTCTCCAATGAATTGTCCTCTTTGTCTTCTGTGTTTATTAGACCAGATTGTCACAATGTTGCCAATGAATTATCCTCTTAGTCTGTCGTTGATAAGACTCAATAGTCTCACAACGTCTCCAATGGATTGTCCTCTTTGTCTGTCGTTGGTAAGACTCAATAGTCTCACAATGTCTCCAATGGGTTGTCCTCTTTGTCTGTCGTTGGTAAGACTCAATTGTCTCACAATGTCTCCAATGGATTGTCCTCTGTGTCTGTCGTTGATAAGACTCAATAGTCTCACAATGACTCCAATGGATTGTCCTCTTTGTCTGTCTTTGATAAGACTCAATAGTCTCACAATGTCTCCAATGGGTTGTCCTCTTTGTCTGTCGTTGGTAAGACTCAATAGTCTCACAATGTCTCCAATGGGTTGTCCTCTTTGTCTGTCGTTGGTAAGACTCAATTGTCTCACAATGTCTCCAATGGATTGTCCTCTGTGTCTGTCGTTGATAAGACTCAATAGTCTCACAACGTCTCCAATGGATTGTCCTCTTTGTCTGTCGTTGATAAGACTCAGTAGTCTCACAATGTCTCCAATGGATTGTCCTCTGTGTCTGTCGTTTATAAGACTCAATAGTCTCACAATGTCTCCAATGTATTGTCCTCTTTGTCTGTCGTTGATAAGACTCAATAGGCTCACAATGTCTCCAATGGATTGTCCTCTTTGTCTTTCGTTGATAAGACTCAATAGTCTCATAATGTCTCCAATGGATTGTCCTCTTTGTCTGTCATTGATAAGACTCAATAGTCTCACAATGTCTCCAATGTATTGACCTCTTTTTCTGTCGTTGATAAGACTCAATAGTCTCACAATGACTCCAATGGATTGTCCTCTTTGTCTGTCGTTGATAAGACTCGATAGTCTCACAATGTCTCCAATGGATTGTCCACTTTGTCTGTCGTTGATAAGACTCATTAGTCTCACAATGTCTCCAATGGATTGTCCTCTTTGTCTTCTGTTGACCAACGGGTTGGTCGGTTGTTAAAGTGGAGAAAAATCACAAGGAGTCGAGACACATCAATGTTATTGCTGCCAAGTTTATTGTATGTTTGGTCTCGCTTAACTTACTATTTTAAGAGTTTGCTTTAGTGTAATGTGTTTGAACTAAAATATTTTAAGCTTGGAACTGTGTTGACATGATAAAGCATAACACTTTACTTTTGTATGGGAAGTCATATGAATGCTGTTGTCTAACATATTGTCATAGCATGTTGTTAGAACCATAATGTAATTAAAAAATAAATACTGCTTTCTGACACATATAATAGCATAAATATTGTTAGCATAAACAAAGTCATTAAACACTGTTTACTGAAAGGAAAAAAGTTATTAAATTATCTCTTAAACGAAATGTCATTTACTGTTATTTTAAATATACAGATCTCGAGAACTTAAAAGCTTATTTCTGAAACATTAAAGCCAATCAAAGTGGATACCTGTAGCCTGGTGTATTGCTAAGTAAGATTAGTATTCTAGGTTGTATTTTTAAATGATGACATATTTAAAGTTTTTTTGCAAGAGTTACATAACTGATATGGTGTGATGTTATTTGCTGTCGATTGAAAAAACCCAGAAACTAATATAAAATTATGGTTTATAAACCTGAACCAATAACATATAATTTTGAATTCTTGAAAGTCACTTTCTACAAAGTAATACATACAAGGTCAAACAAGCACCAAGGTCATACATAGAACTGGGTCATACATACAAGGTCAAACATACAACGGGTCAAGTAAGTACCAGGGTCATACATACAAGGTCAAACATACAACAGGTCAAGTAAGTACCAGGGTCATGCATACAACTGGGTCATACATACAAGGTCAACATGCAATAAGGTCAAGCAAATACCAGGGTCATACATACAAGGTCAACATACAATAAGGTCAAGCAAATACCAGGGTCATACATACAACCGGGTCATACATACATTAAGGTCATGAATGCAACAAGATTTCCAATGATGCAGCCAATACATTGATGGTTCATGTGACATATTAGCCAGGTAAAAATGTGGAGAGAAAATATGCATTTAATTATTTGGGAAAACAGCTGTAGTTTGATGAACAATTGTCACTTTATATATGGGAAATAATGGTACATGTGGTTTACAAACATTAAAACCAAAGATCGTTATTTCAATTCAGGAAATGTATGATCAGGTTGGCACCATTGGGAATGTACTTGCTGGAGCAGCCCTTATAATCTTATTAGCTCAATTATACTTAAACGTTGATAAGAATGATCGAGTGATGAAAAAGGTAAAAGTATGACCAGGTATGTACAAAACCTTCTTTTCAAAGTATTAAAGATGTTTTGCTTTGTCTTTGCAGACCTGGTCCAATATGGCCTGTCCGACAGTCAGCAATGCAAGCAGGATGCTCAGCGCGACTGGAACAGCTTGGCCAGCCTAAAACCCTCAACAATCAATACTATTTCGACAGGACTGCCTACATGATGGTCACACGTGGTGCTCAGAGCGCAGAGCCGTCAACACGTCTCCAACAACTGTCACAACCGTTGCCACGGAAACAAGTCCAGGAGTACAAGGAATCAGAATGGGGACAAACATTTCCGGTTTCAGATAACACCAAAAAGGCCACAGCATCAGCTCGTGTGGAGCAACTTGCAGAGGCCAAAGGGTATAACAAATTTTTCCGTGATGAGAAACCAATTCAGTGGAATGTTCCTGTTGGTGCGTTGAAGGCAACAGCCAATCTTCGGCTACAACAAATGTCCCGACCTCGTAGTAGGACGATGATTAAGGACGATTTTGACCCATATAAAGTGAGCTTAGCTGCACGAAGAGTTCATGCTACTCCAAGGGTAGAGGAACTATGCGTACCAGTACCCAGGAAAGTTAGGTCAAAGAAGGTTTAATGCACTCAAAATCAATAGGTTTTTTCATATATTTATAAAAGTTGAATCCGTGGTAACTAGCTAGGTATATCAATTTAAAAAGAATCTGAAAATATTTCGCTTTCTATTTTTATTTTTAAATGTTCATTAAGTTCAACAGAAAAGTTTTAATCTTAAAGTACTAAAAGTTGTTGATTTTAGATATTTTAGAAAATATTTTTTCCAAAGTTTATCTGCTGATCTACCGACAATATCACTTTCAGTTAAATTGGTTTTACAACTATAAAAACTGACCTTGTGGGATAATGTTAGGGTACCATGAATAATATATGGTTGGTTAATGAAGGGTATGTGATTTACCTTGCTTTATAATGATTTCTTCTGGCTAGAGGTAAATATTGAAAGAAAATACGGAGAATGAGTCAAGAGATCATCTTATATCCGTATTTGTTCGGACTAGGCACCCTGGTCTTACAACAAGTAAAGTAGAGTACTCGGATGAGATGTCAGCGTCATATCGATGACATAAACATGTATTAAGTAATTTCAGTTAAACTTTTCCTTAATTATAATGTTTCAGTTTATTTTGTGACAAAGGTGACAAATAAAATCTGATTCTGTTAAGAAATATCATCACTTTTATGATTTTTACATAATTATTAGTGAGATAAAGGTCATCCATTTCCATTGTACATGATATTTTGTACTGTACAAAAACTGTTCCAAGGGGAGAGAACTCTAGTATTCCATGTGTTTTGTATTTTTGTTTTATTGAGTTTATTTGTTGGAGAGAAATTTTCATAAATTGTACTAATTCAGAATTGTTCTTGGTATAATTCTTTAAATTAAAAATAACTTACACATTAAAAAATAAAAAATAAGGTTCTACTTATATTAAAATTTGTGTTTTCAGTTGCTAGATTTTCAAAAGTTTATTTTACCAACAATATCTTCCACCTAGATGGTTTTCTTGTTAAGATTAGGACCTGCTAGCTAACCATGAATTTTATAATTGTTAAGCTATTTATCCATGGTAGACTATACTAAGAATAGATAACTCTTCAAATATTATGTTCACCAAACAGTATTTTCGAATAAGCCCAAAGGATAATACAAATGGTATATACATGTATATCCTGTCATTATTGAATGTTTTATATATATATGTTATCAATGTGCACTGGGTTTGTGGTGGTTGTTTTACTCTACATATATGAAAAATTATTAATTGCACGTGCAATAGCCCCTGTATATATATCATAATTAAATTGTGTTGAATATTTAGTCGGTTAATTTATATTTATATTATACTTTCGTTGTTATAACTCGGAAGTATAGCTCTATACCACTTCAGTATTATGGTTGCAGAGTTTGTTTTATTTTATTGTGTGTGGTTTTAAAATCCATTGTTAATAATGAACAATTTATACCAAGTTACTATGTAACGTACATGAGATGTTCATTGGTATTTTCTTTAGTGGTTTGAATCTGTTTAGATGAATCATGGAACAAACCTTCATGGATACCCAATATAATTTAAATTTGATGTATTTATTTTCTTATTGTTCCATACCAACTCTGAAAACCACAAATGTTTGTACACGGGGAACATTTCACGTGATACAATATTAAATGTAAGGAGTCGAGTGGTGTCATTACCATCAAGAGTCGGTTACTCTTGGCGTTAGATTTATAAGAATTAAATGTAAATTGTGAAGATGTAGTTGAATAAAGTTACAGAAACCTGAATTGTGAAGATGTATTTAAATGAAGTTTCAGAAATTTAAATTGTGAAGATGTACTTGAAAAAAGTTACGGAAATCTAAATTGCAAAGACGTATTTAAGTAAATGTCACCCTGGTGAAATACTAGCCGCCTCCTACCGACTCGGCTAGGGAGAAGTTCTTTTTAGCTCCTTCCGTAGATCGTAAGACTAGTAAGCCAGAGGTCCCGGGTTCAACTCCTGGTAGAGGCATTGAAAAAATGATGACCTAGCTATCTTATATAAAGTTTCAGATATTTTTCTCTAACTTTCAGCAGGTGTTTTGAGGATGGTCTCCTGTTAGGCTATGTTGTTCAGTATATTTGGTGAGTGTTTTAAATGAATTTATGTAATTCAACAGGAGACTGAAGCTGTAGTATCTCTATGAAACTGTAATGAGGTAGAGGTTGTTGGATTATTTACGTATGGACTATCTCAATTATTGTATTGTCCATGTACGAATTATCACAATTCTCAGATTATCAATGAGTAGGTAAACAGTCACATACATTATAGACAGAGGCAATAGAGTATTACTGGGGTAATATCAGTATTATTTGTTGAATCTTATAACAGATGTATTTTTTCTTAATAACAGTATTCTATCAAGTATTATGAAATATATTTCTCATGTTAAGACTTGCTTTGTGGAATGCTAATCTAGAAAATCCTTTTATTTTTTTCTTGAACTTTTGATCTGCAATATTAAAAAGTTATTCTTCTGTGCAGTTTCATAAGTTTAACTTATAGAATATTGTAGAATATTCTTGTAACTAATTATATTGCCATTCTTAATTTTCTAAGGTATGCTGTCAAACTTTCTATTTCATGGAATAAATTCTTCATTTTCAAAGAAGATGTCATATTCTCCTATTAACATTAACACTTGGTACTGTATTTCTGACTTCAATTTAATACATTCAAGTTTTGTCTTGAAGAAATGTTTTTTATTATCAAAGCTTGCCTCTTGTCATAATCCTTCACTCACATTCACCACCAAAATTTGATTATGAACTATTCCAACCTTCATATTGGAAGAGTTCAAATGTATCTTCAGGGGTGAATGAGTTTAACTAGAAGATGATAGGATGATTTTTAAGTTTATTTACTTGTAATTATATGTTTAAATTATTATTTTTGCTAATTTTATATATTTCATGCTGTTTTACTTTCTATATGTTTTGTTATTTATGTCTTTAAAAAACAACAACAAAAAAACTGTTTTATTGCTAGTTTGCAGTTTGCATAACAGATTCATGCTCCTTTTTAAAAAAAATTCAAGTGATATAGTATTTAAATGATCATTTGACTTCCATTTCAATCACTTCAAACATTTTATGTTCCAATGTTTTTATCATGAAAGAAACAGTCAAAATATTGTCTTTTGTATTGACATAAAGGGTTGCTGATATTGACCAGTTATTCATTTAGCTAGGTTCATGATCAAAAGAATAGGGGAGAAATTAAAAATTTTGATAGAATTATTGCTATCATGATGATAAAGCTATATACTATTACTGCTAAATGTTGTTTGAAATACATGTACCAGCTAATGTCCCTAGAAACGATTTACACAGTACATGATGTATTATAGACAGTTTTCTTCCCTCCATATTTCAATGTTTAACTTCCCCTAGCTTCCATTTTCTTTTCTTGTAAGAGTGTTGTTTTAATTATATATATTCAGACTGTGATATTTATAAAATTACTCACAAATGAGTTATCTCCCCTAGTTGCTCAAGTTTTTCCATCATGTATATGTTTGTATTATATAGTTGTTTTCATTTTCATGTAAAGCCTTTTAAAGATACAGATTTTGAACTGGCCATGTGGTCTGAGGAGAAAAAGAACAATAAATGATGGTGTTATTATACCCGTGATCTTGTTTTCATCCTTATTCAATGCTGTTCAAAGCCTCCGATCTGGAATATGACAAATTCAATCAAAAGAAAAAAGTTCTTGGTAGAAACTAACCAATCAGCATGCAGAATGCTAATGAAATATGTGTGGATAATTTGCTCAATGTCAGGTTATATGCTTAAGTTGCATAAAAAAAAGGGGATCCCTGTACATGTCCCACTGTTCTGCAGTTTTTCCTATATATACAGTGACCTCCCCTTAACTTCTGTTTGGATATAACTGTAGCACAGTTGGAACACGTGCTTCCGTTGACAAGGGATCTAATCAGTTAAGGTGATATTTATCACCTTGGACGTCCAGGGTTTGAATCTCGTACTAGCCACACTCGACAGAACACTGTTAATTATATTTTGTTTCAGTCCCACAAGGAATGTTTTTCTTTCCATAACTGATTTATCAAAACTATAGTTATGCCTGAATTTACGCGATGGTACGTTAAGCAAGTTATATTGCAGAAACCAGTGGATTGACCGACAGATGCTGTAGGTCAAGGTCATTTACCTTATTATTAAAAAATAAATATACAGCCCCATTACAGCAAGCTACAGAACTACAAATGTAACAGTACGTCTCCAGGCTACACTGTTGTACAGTAAAGATTGCAAGTAGCTAGGTCAATGTGATCTATTTGTAAATCACAAAACCCTTCATCACATCTTGAGGCCTTATGGTAACGTGGTGAATGTTTTGAGGAAATGTTGAACACAATGGACACTACACTATGATGAGCAATAGAATTTCACAATAAACAACAAACAACAAATATCATGATGTTATTCATGATTTTAATTCATCAGATGAAAATATTATAACATAAATATGAAATCACAATGTTTTGTATTAAACTATATCACAATCTATAGACCATGAATCCTCCCCCTATATATACCTAGCAAGTACAGCTTTCTCAGTTCTAATATTGGAGCTAGGCACCTTCATATCATCATCATAAAATAATAAAATATGAATATAATATTCCTCTCAATCAAATCTGAAGTTGTCAAGCGATTTGGTTCTGGCCCATATACAGGAACCAGACATTTTATATCAAACAGTTGAAGGACTAATATAAACGAAACGCACAATGTCGGAACTTAGTGCTCTAAACGTACCTTACAACAGATACCCTGCACCTATCCCTCTCTCCATCCCACCCCACCCTACCCAACACCTCTCTCCACCACACCCCACATCTAGCCCTTTCTCCATCCCAACCTAACCCTACCCCTATTCCTCTCTCTTCCCAACCCCTAACCCCCTCTTTTCGCTGGGTACTGGTACCTCACTTTTCCCCCCCCCCGACTAGGGATAGCTCCAGTTATTCCCCTTGTTTCAACTACAGTTTTCTCCCTTCCATTAACTAAAACTTCATTTTTGCACATACCTGGCAAGTTTAAAGCAAAGAGAGATCCTTTAACATGAACATATACAACAATGACTTGTACTGTTAGCCCTAATTAAGGATTAATCACGTCCAAAATAATTTGAACTAACAAACATAAACAACAACACATAAAAACAAGTTAAAGCTCTTAAATTAATTCTTGAAACGAATGTATGAAAATAAAATGTTTTCTTTTTTCAATATGTTTAAACCTCTTCATCAAAATTGAAAATGCATAAAAAATGGGGGTGGAGTAAGAAGTATTTCAAATTGTAATCACAACTATGATCATTTTGTAACCATGAGGATTGAAATTTAACTAATGATATAATTGATAAGTTATTAATTTTGTGACAAATGTGAAGTCTGCTCACAAATTAAACACTCATTTTGGAAACTGATTTAAACAGTACCAGCATATAGTAAAAAAGTTTTATGAGTGAAGTATGTGTGCTACATGATTATAAGGACTTGGTTTCTTATAAGCTTCACAACACATTAATATACATTTTACATGTACATTATAAACACAACAATAAATATGTTGATATTTTATGAACTTTCATTGAGGTGAATATGTTGTTATATGGACCTGAGAAAGTGATATTGACCAAGAAGTTACAGAGGTTAATATCACTTTGTAATGTCCATATTCACTGAAATAAAGGTACCTTATTGTTAGATATGAAATATCATTTCAAAATTTGGCAGAGAGCAGGGTACAATGTTACAATTGAAGTGAGGTCATAAAACACAGTCAATATCACAAATCACCACTCTCCACAGAAATCACCAACATCCACAGGATTGTAATTCAACTCAAGTGGATGTAGGAAAAAAAGTGTCATCTAACCTATAAAAATACCTCCATGTATGATACACAACTTCATGTGACGTATACATGGTATATGAATATATATACCTGCATGTATAATACACGTATAACTTCATGTGACGTATACATGGTATATAAATATATATACCTCCATGTTTGATACACAACTTTACGTGACGTATACATGGTATATAAATATATATACCTCCATGTATGATACACAACTTTACGTGACGTATACATGGTATATAAATATATATCCATGTATGATACACAACTCTACCCGACGTATACATGGTATATATATACCTACATTTACATGTATGATACACAACTTTACGTGACGTATACATGGTATATATATACCTACATTTACATGTATGATGCACAATAATACTAAATGTATGATCCATGGCACTTTCTATGTGTAGGAAATTTCAGACTTTCTCTGTTGTCACTCGACCATGTGAGGATTGCTATCGGAGTAAATTACTCCGGCTTCTAGTCACTGATTATAACCCAAATGATGAAAGCTCCTGACCTTTGACATACATGTTTGTGAATGAGTCTAAATTTCGACTGAATTCCGATTCTCATGGATCCGGAGGGGTCAAACAAAATAATGATATTAGATCAAATGTATCACAAAATAAATATCTTTACTCTGAAAACATTCTTAACAAATTATTCTTAATATTCCCTCATTTCATGTTTCCATGGCATTTTCTGTGATTCAAAAGGTATAAGTTTTAACACAGATTCACAAATATGTTACATTTAACCATAGATACATAAATACATGTCACTATTCTGGCTAACAGTCGAAAAATATCGCCCTCAAAATAAAATGGATTATGAAAACTGTCAATGCTCTAAAAGTAAAGAAGTTTTTATTATGGGTCTGAATTTATACATTGTGGCTCGTCACACTATATGTAAGTACTGCACCGTTTGACCACAAGATGTAAATTTTGAATTTGTGTGAGACTGGACTTGAATGAGGGAGTTTCGAGGGAGATTGGTGAATTTTTGTCAAAATTAGGGAGTCTCCCTCTTAATGAGGGAGAGTTGATAGCTATGACATCTTCCCAAATCATTGCCCCAATTTTCAAATGGATAACTCATAATTACAACGGTGACCGCTACTTGAGAGCTCTCGTGATTTATCCATCGATTACATACCTTAGTTGAATCTCGTAAAACTTTGAGTAAACAACAACAGGAAAATGGTTTGCCGACCGACTATTAAAAAACCTGAGGTTTTGAGGACTTTCCGTAAATTCATGCCCCACATCCTGAAACTTTAACAGAGGTGAAAATCTGTGAGATTTTGCCTCACGCCGTGAAACTTTAACAGAGGTGAAAATCTGTGATATTTTGCCTCACGCCGTGAAACTTTAACAGAGGTGAAAATCTGTGAGATTTTGCCTCACGCCGTGAAACTTTAACAGAGGTGAAAATCTGTGAGATTTTGCCTCACGCCGTGAAACTTTAACAGAGGTGAAAATCTGTGAGATTTTGCCTCACGCCGTGAAACTTTAACAGAGGTGAAAATCTGTGATATTTTGCCTCACGCCGTGAGATCTGGCACGTATGACTACCTTACACACACACACAGGTGTAAGAGAAAACATGTAAAGGTACAATAAGTATAATCATATAAGTTAAGTTATACATCTGTTAGAATCAATCTAAACTTCTACCTTACAACTGAGATCAAGATATTCTGCCCTGGTATGATACAGTATATGTAATCTTATATTTGATCTCTGTTAGTCAAGGGTTGCACTTCATTCTTTCCAGTTTAATTCTTACCTATATTGTCATTTAATTCAGATGCCTGTTACATTCAAAATCTTGAGATCAATGCAAAATAAAAAAAAAATCTCTCCATAAGAATTGTGACTTGTTGGACTAGACATAACACAAATATAATATTTAATAAAGCAGATGATTATTAAATCTAAAACATTTAAAAAGAAAAATTAATTAAAAAGTTTTACTCCTATAAAAAAGGTTACTTGACAAGTAAAATACAATATTTTTGTTAGTTTCACTACATTTTGTAATTTCTCATCAACCAATACCAATATGTATAATTTGTGCAGTTGGACATTCCAGTTTACAAAACAGGTTCTTTGCATTACAATGCAATAGGAATTTCAACTATCTAATGTGGGACCAAACATTGGGGATACATGTAGCATGAAAGGTCATCTTAAAAAAATACTATTTCAGGGTTGAATGAGCTTATGCACATGGAAAGGATATTTGGGCTTATTATTGTTTTTTTTTAATTCCTAAAAAATTGTTCCTTAAAAGTTTGCAGATTTATGAATGTTGACTACAGAGGTTTTATTGACCAATTATCACATATCCCACTACCCGTACCATATTGGTGCGATTTGACTTATTAGGTCATAAAAAAGATATGTTTACAAAACAGTTTATAAGATGGATTTTTTTCAATCTTAATAACATCTCAAAATGTATACACACATTTTTAAGTAACCCTTTCACCCCTATGTAACTTTAGTAGACAATGCCATGCACCATGAAGAAGCGTCAACAGAAGCAATACTATGCTTACCAAGACGTCGACCACCATCAACCATTGATATGGATGAATCCATTATGGTCTGCAGTGGAGAAAGGATTATTGAGAGAAAACCTTTTCCCAAGCAAAAACCATGAACAATGCCTACACTGATTTTCTTCCAGAGTTTTTAAGATGCTGAACTTTTCCCATTTTACATTATTTCAGTATTTTCCACAAGTCACAGCAAGAAAACACAAACAAATTTCATACAAATGCATTGTTTGCTCAGATTATATAAAACAATTTTGCTGCCTAAAAGATATTGAAAGTTGAATATACATTTAGTTAAACACAATTTTGAAACAAAATTTCCAAATGCCACACAGGTGCAAAAAGGCACATAATAACAGATTTATATGTGTTTGGGGGTGAAAATATGAATGAAGACCTATGAAAGTAATTTATAAATTAGCAAGCACCATGTTTATAAAAACAGTGAAACCCCTCCAATCCAATACTCTCTGGAACATTAATTACTAATTGGTCAGATTAGAAAAGATTTTTGGAATACACAGGTCTAATACAATTTTGTTCAATTGTTTTATATTATGCCAGAAACTTAAGTGTCACTTTAGACAGTTTGTCAGAAAACTGAGGGATCAGATTAGACATTGGTCACTAAAGTAAAAGCAATGTTTCTGGTATTACTGAAGGAAAATAGCTATTTTATTATAAAATTATTAAATGGCTCTGAAAACAACTAAAAATGGTTGTGCTGTTTGGCTTTGAACATTTGGTCTGGCAATGTCCACATAAATTTACAAAATCTACACATTTTCATTTCTCCTACAAAAATAGATTAGACTTATTCTACAGGAATTTGTCTTTTTTATGTATAATATTACATACTACTGATGTGAAACTTTGTTTTGAAACTTTGTATCAAAATTTCCTCTCCATTCCAGTTTTCATCTGACACAAGGGTGATTTTAACACGACATTCCTCATACAAGTATATCACAGCTATCACTGTCTCTGTCCTGGCTTCCTCGACTCTCACACCACACAAATCTTTATGTGATCAAGCATGGTCCAATTATAAAAAGTATTTTTTGTTTATTTCTATTTAGAAAATTGTTTTCTACCTTATAAATCTTACATTATAAATCAGTCATATTAATTCCATTCGAGTAAAATTTCATCAAGAGATGCATTCCAAATTTAATGAAAAAAGTATAACTTGAAATTTTCTGCATTCAATAGCATTTAAGATACCAGGACAAAATCTGTATGAAAAAAATGAGAATATAGACATTAAATAAATACATACCCCTCTTTAGATATTCATAGAAATTTTGCAGAGTCTAAGGCTTTTAACAGAAGATAAAGTGTTAACGGTGAAACTTGTACAGTTCCAGTATATGTAATTTATCTTTTTACCAAAAGAAATAAGTCCCAAAATGTCAATATTTTGCTCTCAATTTGTAAGGTGTAAATAACAAAGTAAATATTAATAATAATAATAATTTGAAGTTCTTATATACCTCTTTATCACAACCTAGTTTGTAGGTCGTCTCAAAGCGGTTCACAAATTATTATCCGTGGTTATAGGGCCTTTGCAACCAGCCAATATCTTTCTCAACTCCCTGGGGAGTATACAGCCGGTGCTGCCATTTCAGCACTCACAGCTAGCATTCAAGAATTCTAGCACTGCCCAACCACATACACATTTGCAGCCGAGTAACTGGAACAACCCAGTGCCGTGGCGTGACTCAAACTCTCAACTCTTCGGTCACGAACCCTGGGCGTCCAACACCTAAACTAAACTGCCTCCAAAAAAGTTTGATCAGACAATTTCTGACAAGAATTCTCTAATAGATTCTTTTGTTGAATGCAAAACCTCTGACAACACCTAAGTTTTACTTCTGTTATAACGAAAAGGATACCTACACTAAGAGGAAATGAAATTTGTAGTTAACTAATTAAAGTCTCAACTATTCAGCAGAAAATGAGAGTACTCTGGAATGAATAAAAATATCATTAAGCTATAGTAAAACCTGTCTAATATGAAACACTGTGGAAAAAATATATTTTTTTTTGTAGTTTTCATTAGATATGGGATATCATCATCGATATGTTTGACTAAAATGAATGCCACATAATCAGGGAACAGATTATATATGTTCAAATACTCATGGGTCAAATTAGACAATGTATCATAATAATCAGGGGTCAGATTAGACATGTCAGAATATTCAGGGGTGTGATAAGACAAGTCAGAATACTCAGGGGTCAGATTGGACATGTCATGTCAGAATATTCAGGGGTGTGATAAGACAAGTCAGAATACTCAGGGGTCAGATTAGACATGTCATGTCAGAATACTCAGGGGTCAGATTAGACATGTCAGAATACTCAGGGGTCAGATTAGACATGTCAAAATAATCAGGGGTCAGATTAGACATGTCAGGATACTCAGGGGTCAGATAAGACAGTAGGACAGAATACTCAGAGTCAGATTATCTTTACATGGCAGCAGTATAAGACTTAGCACCTTTCTATGGTAAGCACTGTTTTCACAACCCTCAACCTTACAGAACATCACTTATATACTTATGTGTTACCTTGGTAACACAACAGAAGCTTTTTCAATGGTAAACACTGATTATTCTGACTCTGCTGATAATTGTGGATAACATCACTTGATTGAACACTAGTGTTCCTACTTTATAATTCAAAACAATGTCACAGTGTATGACAGTACATTGATATCGTTTTAAAGATGATCTGTATTTTTAGTTCAGACAAACCCCCAAACTAAGGTGTAATACATCCTATTTTGGCTATCACATAAAATAGTAAATCTACACACATCTGGCAACACTGCAATCCAGAATTTTTAGAATTAAGCATCAGGGTGACATACAGCATGTAAATATTCCGTGTTACATAGAAATACACTGCAGAGGTCAATGTAGCCAATGGGCCTCGGTCCCCATCCTCGATATCCCAGGGGTTACGCTCACTGCACCCCTGGAACATGCCAGAGCAGAATTGAAGGCACAAAGGAAGCTGTTTGATTGGTCTCGGGTAAAGAAACCTGATGGCTACCTAGACTGATACCTGTCCTTTGAAGTTTACAGAGGAGCGACACCCGACTTCCAAGCCAGTCATAATTTAACATTAAGCGACCAACATGTTCTAGTCTAATTATCCACAAGGTGGCGCACACCGAGCCTTCGATTTTGTCATAACATATTCCAGGGGTGCAGAGTGTGTATACAAAAGTAAACGTAACCCCGGCGTAACCCCTGGGCCCGAATTCATGGAACCCTTCTCATACTCAAGCATAGATTTTGTGCTCCAGTCTAATTTCTTGTTCTTGCTATAACTTAATAAATACATCTTATTTTGTCAATGATTTGGGAACGTTTTGAAGAGACTTAAGGCCAAACACTGTTCCAATGTTAACATTTGACTTTGTGATCATTTGATATGGTTTAACTGAGTTGCAAATAAAATGGTTTGAGCACAGAATCTATGCTTGAGTATGAGAACGGTTTCATAAATACGGGCCCTGGAGTATTGAGGATGTCTGTCCCAGGCCAGTGAATTTTCATCTTACATGAACATCTGAATTTGGCTGCTCTTCAGAACTTTTAGAATTAACGTACATAAAGTAACAATTTAAACAACAATAATGTTACAAGATACTTTTGCTGTAGTTTATAATCTGCACATAAAACAAATGTGTTTTATTTCTCGATAAGTATCGTTTGAAGTTAATCACTTCACAAATGCAAATAAAATATTATCACTGAATTAAACATAAGGTATAAGGAAATAATTCAATCACTACAGAAAATTTGGACCCTTATCATATGCAGAGATGTATAAGTCTCTTTGCAATTGGTGGCAGCTCAAGTAATAATCGGCTGTTCCCAATGCGACCACACAAATGAATAATGAAATGAAAATCACCATAAAAAAATATCTAAACATTGTTGTATAATGTGAAATAAATATACACGTAAACTATAAAATTAAAATGTCAGGATAAAATGTTTACTTGGTAACGGGACTGATGAAGGGAAGTAAGCCTAAAGCAAAGTTTACACAAATGAATTTGTATTTCAGTAACTTTACATGAGACTCATTTCCCTGCACGAGCCCTAAAACAGCCAAATATACATTTAATCCTTAACTTTTACCCCCTGTATTCTCATAGCTAACAATACAGCCTATTTGGTTTTCTGATTTTTCAGTGTCATCTACCTGATTTTCGAAATTCTTATTTCATTTTAATGTCTAAATTTCCAGAAAAACCTGAAAATCTCCTCATATTTGATGTAATGTATGAAAATTGGTTTAAGGCCCTCAGTGACCCCTTAATATGGAATAAATACTGTAGTTTATGTAGTGTATTAACAATAGTTTAGGGTTGACCTTGAACATATTGACAATTGTTTAGGGCTGACTTTCTCCGTTTTAACAATGGAGTAGGGTTAACCTTCAACAAATATTGACAATAGCTTTGGGTTGACCTTCACCATTCTGACAATAGCTTTGGGTTGACCTTCACCATTCTGACAATAGCTTTGGGTTGACCTTCACCATTCTGACAATAGCTTTGGGTTGACCTTCACCATTCTGACAATAGCTTTGGGTTGACCTTCACCATTCTGACAATAGCTTTGGGTTGACCTTCACCATTCTGACAATAGCTTTGGGTTGACCTTCACCATTCTGACAATAGCTTTGGGTTGACCTTTCAACATATTGACAATAGTTTAGCATTGACCTTCACCATATTGACAGTGGTGAACTTTCTGAGCACCAGAACAGCATATAAAGATGAGCAATGATCAATGGTTCTAAAGGTGTGAACCAAACACTTCCCTAAGATTAATGCCAGATGTCCTCAGTGTAGGATCAGTGATACCGGACGTAAACTGTAACTTGAAAGAAGAAAGCACTTTCAGTGAAGGAACCTTCAGTGTATCATCGGCAGCGTTCAATCTGTAGCTTCAGCGTAATTATCAGCAGCATTGGATCTGAATTGTACCTTCAGGGTATACTGTCAGCATACGAGTGTTGATTGCAGGTAGAGTTCAGTATCAGGATCCAAAACTTCTGTTCACATAAGGAGTAGAGATACTGAAACTGAAACTCACTCATAGTGTACGAATAGCTTGCTGTGATACTTCCTTGTTGTTTGAGTCAACATTGCACCTTAAAGAGTGATGTGTTGAGGTCCCGGATCTTCACCATATGATCAATATGATCAACGATATTTGAAATGAAGAGCATTGTCAGTGTATGAAGATTGTTGTATTGACTTTTAAAAGTTCTGTATCAGGGTCCCACGACCATAGATTTGGTTCACCATGAAGGCCGAACATGTAGTCAGGAAAACGGTCCTCTATAGCAGCCATATTGTATAAAACCTGTGAAAAAATAAGTAAAATGTAATGGTCAGGGTAACATATAAGAGTAGAGAACCAGGTGACCCACGTAGTCTTGACAGCTGGATTTGACAATATTTGCCACACCCAGCTTTCTATCAAAGTCAATTGTTAATCTGCTGTTGTAATATCTTAGACAATTGAACAAGCTTGTAGAAAGTTCCTTGTATATTACATGTACCTGATTTTTCTGGACATATACATTTTAAGATAAAATGTAGATTTCGTAAGTTTTAAAATAACGAAATATTACAATATATATATACAACACAACTACATATATCTTCATACAATTATTCTGTGTCAATGATTCCTGGCCCACTGCACTGTGGTTTTTCCTACATATACAGTAGCCTCCTCTTAACTTCCTTAAGGATCCCTGGCTCACTGCACTGTGGTTTTTCCTGTATACAGTAGCCTCCCCTTAACTTTTGATTTTATTGGTTTGGGCTAAACACTTCCGATGACCAGGTAGCTCAAACAGTTATAGCTCAATAGTATAACAATGTGAGCTGTCCAGGAGGATAATTTGGTCTTGTCATGCTGAATTTTTACATTCCAAATTCTACTTTTGATTACATTTTGTTTATTTCATCTTTATTTTTTTTCAGAAAGTCCCGTTAGCTATGATTTTCTCTTCAGAAATGATTGCTCAAAACTATAGTCATGCCAGAAAAAACAGTTTCCGACACTTATTTACAACTTTTGGCAGGTGTACTGGGATCCTTAAAGTACTAACTATGACATAGTCATGTTGTCCCATATAAATATATGAATGGGCCTAAATGTGTTTAAATTGCATAAATATAGATTTATCAATTATAATCAATCAACAGGTAGTTTAACTCATTCACCCCTGACATTTTATAATGAACTATTCCAACCTTTGAATTGGAAGAGTTCAAATGTGTCTTCAGAGGTAAATGAGTTAAGGTAGATTGATCATTGATTATTTCAGATATTGAATTGTTTCCCATCTACAGGAACCGGGGATATCAAGCTATCCATACTTTGATGTTTTACAAGCAGAGAATGTGTTTGAACCCAACTTTCTTCTTAATCATCCTCAATACTCCAGGGGTTAGGCTCACTTATGCTCACTGCACCCCTGGAATATGTCATGACAAAATCGAAGGCTCAGTGTGTGCTATCTTGTGGATGACTAGTTTGATCCTTTGATTTACATCAAGAGAATCCTGCAGTAGCATAATGGTAAAGTTGACTTCCTCTGAAGTCTTGCTCTGTAATCTTCAAAAGACAGGTATCAGCCTAGCAATTGGTCAGGGTTTTTTACCTGAATCATAATCCAGGGGTGCAGAGAGCGTACTGGTGAGCATAACTCATGCTGTAGTATAGAGGATGATTCTAAATATGTGAAGTACGTAACTCCTGGAGGATAGAGGATGATTCTAAATATGTGAAGTACGTAGCTCCTGGAGTATAGAGGATGATTCTAAATAAGTGAAGTACGTAACTCCTGGAGTATAGAGGATGATTGTAAGTATGTGAAGTACGGAACTCCTGGAGTATAGAGGATGATTCTAAATATGTGAAGTACGTACCTCCTGGAGTATAGAGGACGATTCTAAATATGAGAAGTACGTAACTCCTGGAGTGTAGAGGATGATTCTAAATATGAGAAATACGTAACTCCTGGAGTATAGAGGACGATTCTAAATATGAGAAGTACGTAACTCCTGGAGTGTAGAGGATGATTCTAAATATGAGAAATACGTAACTCCTGGAGTATAGAGGACGATTCTAAATATGAGAAGTACGTAACTCCTGGAGTATAGAGGATGATTCTAAATATGAGAAGTACGTAACTCCTGGAGTATAGAGGAGGATTCTAAATATGTGAAGTACAACCAAAGAGTAGCCAGACTGATGATTTATAACATCCTTGAATGTATACATACCTCGTAGGAGTGGAGGGAGGTGGTAATCTGGAATATAAACAAGGCCAAACAAACTGTCATTCCAAACAAAGTCAGCAGTCGAATCGGGAGGAAGTCGTAGGATGACAAACTGCAATATTGACAAAGAAACTGATATATAGTGAAAATTTGTATCACAAAATGTAAAATCAACTGCTCTATTTAAGGAACAATGCTTTAAACAGCATGACATTTGATGATCACATCCTAAAACTTTAAAATCTACTGAAAAAAAACACTTTAATCAGCTCAATATATGATGATCTGCATGCATACACATCCTAATATTTTTCAATCTGGTAAAATAGACATTTTAAGTGTTTATTTTCTTTGTTACAAACAAATATTGTGACTTGTTATGAAGTACCTTAACAGGGTAAGACACTAACTTTTTTGTTTGGTAGTCCATGTACAGGACTAGTTGAATAGATTACTTCCTAGTCCTTTGTCAATGTAACTAGTCCAAGATTTCCTGATAAGGACTAGTGTTAGTGTCGACCCCTGATCTAATTGACACTTGTGTCCTAATGCTAATAGCTATAGCAGCCTAGCTACATGTACCGACCAGTGACCTTAATTACTGAAACAAAAGGCTCTCTCACAGCAGAGAGACCCATTTACATTAATAGATAATGGTATGTGACATCAGTTATTAAGGATCCTTGACCTTGTCCCACTACGGGCAAAACAATCCTGTTCTGATCACACTGAATTTTATACTCGAAATAGTGTGTTGTACATTTGTTATTCCCATAATTAAGGTATATGGTTTTTTCCTTCGTAAATGATTTATCAAAGCTAACATCATACCAGAAAATACACTTTTGGATTTCCCAAACCGGTTAGTTTTTGGAAGTGATACAGGGATCCTTAACACCCAGTCTGCAAACCTGTTACTGATAGACAATACACAGTACAGCTAGGTATAGCATGTACACACAAGTCACCTGCAGTCAAATGTCAAGTGGCAGGCTGATGCACAGCATGCAGATATTGTGTGTCTCATAGCATTTCACTGCAGGGGTCAACCTGGCCACTGTGGTGCAGGCCCTCTGGCCAAGACCAGTGATTTTTTCCTGTGGGCTATTTTGCAAAGAACATATTGTTTAGCCCCCTGGGCCAGCTAAATTTTCTTTCATGAACATCTGAATTGTGATAAAACACAAAATTCTGAATACTCGTATGACTCAGGAAAATAAGTAAACAAATGTTCATTCTAACAATCTTTGTCTCTCTCGAATGCACTCCATCCAGTGTTCGGATAACTTGTCCACCCGATGCAAACAAATTGATGGATGAAAAAACAAGGCAACTAATTATTATGTACCCTCTCTACTTCATAGGCAGGTATCGCAAATTATTTAATAATATAGACCCCATTTCAAAAGTTTAAAATGTGTACCTCTTATCTAAAATCTCACCATATATTAATTTCCAACTTATTATAACCCTATAAGTAGTAATCATAAGTTTGCAATTTCCATTCAACTACTAAAGGTATGGGAATAGTCAGTGAGATCCATTTTGTGTCCTACATGTAAGTGTGTATACATGTGTGTCCGATATGACACAGTGACTATAGCTCCTGTTCAAAATTACAGGTAAAAAAATGGCAAACCTATATACACACTAGGCATACAAAACTTATCTATATATCCTTTAAATACGCTACATAGTTTATGCATGAAGTTTTAAATACAAAATATTATACATGAAAATATACCCAAGTACAATGTAAAAAAAATCAAACTTGTAGCCAAGATTGACAATGTGTCTACTAGTTTCAATACATGGCCATTGGCTAATGAAGCCAAAAAATCAGGACCTCTCGGTTCAGTACTTTGATATATTATCTAAAATTAATTGACATCTTCAAACCAAATAAGCTATTCTAATTAACATGTAATACATATAAAAACATGTCCAAAAATGAAATAATTCATTATATTTTAAGGGTAGAAGTTTTTGCCATCTTGAAGTTATCATTCTAGATCCAGTCTAAATTACCAATTTTACTTTAAATTTTGGAGGAAATTTTGAAATTATATTGGTATATAACCGACAAAGTGTGTGTGTTGCCAAATTATTGAGTTTGATGATCAAGTTTGTATAACACATACAGTCATTGAAGGGGTGTAAAGGAGTATGCCTTGTCCACAAAGTCAGGTTAATGCATTGATAATATACATGTAGAGTATATACATTTTTCCAAAGGTATAATACACAATAATTCTTGTACTGATAACACTTTGGCAAATCAGGAATACTAAATTAAACCTAATTGAACACTTAAAAGAACAGACATGTGTCTTTCGTATGACAATGTTGACAGATCACTGAGCCAGTAAATAATTAAGGATACCTAATTATAATGATATAATGGGTAAGGTAACATGGGGGTTGTATAGTTGGTAGTGAGCTGGGTTGCTTCCGTTTATTGCGATCCAAACAGTTGAACAAGTTGGACCAGATTTGTTCGTTTATGAAGTAAGGTCGGACCTAGTAATCTGATGCTGCTTTCAGACGAGCCTTGACAGAACCTTGCAAGGCCTGCCAGGGTTTCTACCTAAATATGTAACATTTTAAAATAGACCGACCGGTTTTTCTGCATAAACAAACAGGATCCTGGTCTGTTGACCTAAACATTGGGGATTAAGTTTATCTGCAGACTGCAGAATGTGGTTGTGTCTTAAGAAGACAATTTCTCTCATGTAAGATTGTTCAACTTCACCTGCCGAAAACTTAAATTAATTTCTGTTATTGTCTGGATTGGGTAGTATCATGGTTTCTGTAATATAGCTTTAGTAATTCAAATGATACAGCACTATTCAAAATTCTTTAGTCTTCCTGGTACAAAATCTTCTTACCAACTGAGCTAGGGAAAATTTCTCTTTAGCTCATTCGGATGAGCATAAGACTACATGTACATCAGAGGCTTTGAAAATAGATTGACCTCTGTTAAACAGGCACACGTAGGGACCTGGGACCCAGGAAATGTTGACAAATTTACTCATTGATACTTTTGCAAGAACCACTGTGACCCCTGTAAGACAGGGCAATTTTTTTCCTGGAGTCTGCTTCCTACCAACTCAGCTAGGGAACATTTCTCTTTATGGTTCATTTGGTAGAGTATCAGATTAGTAAACCAGAGATCCTGGTTTCAACTCCAAGCATTCCGCTATTTATCTTTAAGTATAAAAGTCAATCGCACCAAGCGAGTAAGAGAAACAGAGTTGGGTGTATCTCTGTAACTACACTATTTATCTCTTAGTAATGGCACTCATCAACCTTTCGAAAATGTTGTACAGGATTCTGCATCTGAAATAATCCTAGGAAAAGACACTTTATTTATATGTACAGCTAGAACTATCATACATAATTCCCTTAAAGCTGACAATACATGTCAAGAACTATCGATAATCTTTCTCAAAAAATATATAACTTTGGCTGATTTAAGATCGGGAAAGTCGAGCGTGCCCAACCGGTTGTGCATTTTTTTGTTTGCTGTTTTACAGTTAACTATTGTAAACATTATAATGAAACACAACCAAATGCCCTCACTTCACAGGTCCAACCCAAGTTGTTCCAAAATATCTAACATTAATTAAATAGCTCCTCTTAGGTTTTTCTTTTATTGTGTGGAGATAGTCTACCTCTGTTGGGCAAGGAAAAAACATGCACCAATGATTCAGATTTGTCTTTTCTTTTTCACCACAATCAATTCATTTTAATTAAGGTGTTTTCTTCTTTTAGAGTTTTTCTTTTTTTGTAAACATGCAATGCATGCATGCAACCTCCATCTTCAGTATCTGGTAATGCTAATTAAACGTTTAGGAAATACATTTAATTATAGTCGAAAGGTAAACAATTGGTGTATACCTATCAGAATCACTGTACGTCATTAATTGATATTTCTTGCTAGATTTGTGTCTGATGACATTACATTGCTTTTTAACGTTTATTTAAGATAAAACTTTGTAAGAAGATCTGGGAACATAAGAATTGCAATTTCCATCATTTTTCTCATTATTTTTGTGTGGGGTAGACTCCCCTCTCCTGTGCCTCTACCTGTAATGTATAGTATTGTGAGACCACGTTAATATACACACGTGTAACAACAAAACATGTATACACCATTCATCTATTATTAAAACCACGGGTGTGGCTGGGTGCCAAAACTGACGTCACGTGTGATTGTTTTGCACGCGCAAGCATTGACGGCTGTCACTGTCAGAAGAAAAGATGGATTCTGCAGAGAAAACAATGGCTCAATCAAAACAATGGAATCTAGAAACCGTTCCAGCTACCAGAGGAACCATACTAGGAGGTACAATACATTAAATATGCGTTTTTATTTTGACAGTATGCACAAAATGTTTAATATACAACATTAATACAAGACGTTGACAACTTACAATGAACCTGAATTGAACTTTTAAGTGTCAAGAAACGTTTGCAATCCATTGTAACGGTTAATGCATACCTATTTGTCAGAGAGAAGAAAGCGAATCAGTGAATATACATATACGTCGTAATAACGCATGTCTATAGTGTATGCATGATGTTTTTATACATACCGCAGAAAAGTTAAACAAAAGAAGAAGGAGAAGGGAAAAATGAAACTGAACGAACAGCTGAAACCAGAGATGATTCCCCCAATGAGCTGTTCTGTTGAATTATGTAACTATGGTTACGTACAGAAACTCATCTTTTGCTCTCCTGTATTTCTTCTTTCTTCGTTTCCTTTTCTCCTGGTTGAACTTCTCGGTGTTACATTCGGTGACTGTTTTCGCTACATCTTCAGACATTTCAGTCACTTTCCTCCATAGATAGCATACAGAGTTACCACCCTTTATTGAACGGAACTCTTATCCGTTGACCTTTCACCTTCATTAATGGATAGCAACATGCAGTCTTCCGGAACCGACAGTAGTTTTTCTCGCATCCTGAGCAGAGAGCAAAATGGAGTCATTCAGCCAATTCTTACAGGTAATCATTATGATCTCTTTCTAAAATAACTTCTTTATTACGTGTCTGATATAATTTCAAGATGTTTGCGTATTGAATGGAGCCAAGTTGTGACAAACTAAAAACGCGCACCTTATTTCACTTCGGTTTCATTTTCACCTTGCCTGCCGTGATAAACAAGTTTACACTGGCATGTTATGTCGATAAAATCGATATGAATTTCACCATCGGCTTAATAAAGAATGCTGCGGGTAGCTGAGAGCGGCGCTATTGAAATATAGTCAGTGTAAAAATGAAGGGAAATTTATCAAAGAGGAAATAAATTAAAATTCCAATTTAAAGTTTTCCATGTATTTCAATTACAAAATGAAAGTGAAACAGTTGTAATGTATTTTTGAAAATTCAAAGCGTATGTTTATAGATTTTTAGAATGTATTTTGAAACTAGTAGGTATAAATTAATATTGAAGAACAAAGTTATTTTTTAAACGGTAACAGCAAATGCTGGAAATAAAGATTTTGACTGCATTTATTCAATTAGTTGAACAAAAATAGACAATTTCAATGATTGTCAATTAAATTTGATGTATGATCTAAAGAATTGTTTTACTTTATGTCCCATTTGAAAATCTCCCACAAATAAGAAACAAAACCATCTAAATCAACAACATTTAAATAAATTCCGCTTCTGTTGTATATAAAAAACAACTAGCTAATACAAATACAGATGTTTCATACAAACCAAATTCATATCTTGGTCTACAATGAAAAAATGGGAGGGGAAAAATATAATTGTCCCAATGCGGATGACAATCAGACTGCATGATAAAACATGGCCAAGTACAAATGTATATATATTTGCACATAGTGAGTCCGGATCAAGTGTGATTGACCACAAACCCCAGTAGAAAATACAGCATCAGAGTCGTTTAAATAATGATAATGAATATATTGATATATTCATATACCGTTATTTGTGTTGCAATTCATCACTTTTGTTCATTTTGTATCACAGTACAAATCTAGATTGATCCATGATAACTAATTATTTATATTGATGTAATGAAGACTTAGCTGTATTTTTAGGTCACCTGAGCTTTAGCTCAAGTGACCTATTGCTATCCGTTTTCGTCCGTCGTCGTCCGTCGTCCGTTAACATTTTACATTTCAAACTTAAAGTCAAGTTCTGCTGGGCCGATTGAACTGAAAGTTGGTAGGAATGATCGCCTCATGGTCCTGACAAAGTGTTGTTATTTTTCGGGTCAATCAGAAATACAATTTGGCTGCCATGGCCGCTATTTTGCTACTAAGTTCTAATAGGCCGATCTCACTTAAAATTGGTCTAGGAATGATCAGCTCATGGTCCTGACAAAGTTAAGTTAACATTATACTATTTTTTACTCAAATTGGTACATATTTCAACAACAAAAATAAATACTGTAGACTCAGGTGACCGTTTAGGCCCATGGGCCTCTTGTTTTTTTTTTACCTTAGCCCTCCAAAACTGTACACTTAATTGTTCTGATGACGATTAGCCCAGCTAGACAGAACATGTAAACCATAAATGAACTACGAAATCTAAATGTTGTTGCTTTATCTTTCATTTCATTTGCTGTAACTTCAAGGTAGATATTGAAAATTTCCAAAAGCCCTGATATAAAAGACACAAATTATGTTTTAGATGTCAGGCTAGTGGACCAGGTTTTACAGTCATTGATGTCTTAGTCGTTTAATGAACTGTTTCTGTAATTAATATAACAAACCTCATACAATCATGACAACATAATAACTCAGAAAATGTACTACACATACCAGGTATACCAGTACATGAATTAACAATGAAGTAGCTAGATAGGTTCATTTGTATACATCGACATAAAACACAGCTGCTGTAGCTGTACACCTGGTGCAGGAGAAGGAGTGGATATTGGACTGTGCTTCGTACGGTATTAGATAAGGGAAAAAAACAAATTAAAAACTAATTAATTTCAGAAAAGTGTTTTTGACTTATGATATTGATGTGCTGTTTCATAATCCAAAAGATATTGTGGGTATGGATGACAACTTGTCATTAACCCATTCACCCTTTAAGTCACATTTGAACCTTACCAAATCATTGACTGGGCAAGTCCAGTTTAAATATATGTAGGGGTGAATGAGTTAATAGATGACAGGGAATGAGACAAATACTCTATATTCCAGCTGGCCTGATAAATTAAAATGATTATATATATGACCAAAAAAATTATTTGTCTGTTTAGGGATCCCGACCGACCCTAGCTTTTTACCCCCAACCCAAAACTTTTTGATGAACTTTTTTTAATTTTTTTTAAACGCTGATTTTCGAATTTTAGAAGGTTCCTTGCCTTTCAAAATGGCTTCCAGCTCCGTGTTGGCGCTTAATGTCAGCATATGGAGCACAATTTGCCTCCAAATGAACCTTTTTTATGTAATTCTTTGTTTTACATACAATAGTAGGGTCATAATCACATGACCACGGTACACAAAAATATACAAAAAAAAGTCTGACCTACCTACCCTTGTTTTTTTGCCCATGCAACCCTAAACAGACAAATTTTTGTTTTGGCCTATCTATATGCTAAGAATGTGTCATGATAATGCATAATGTAAGCAAACTTATATTAGCCGCTCCAAATTTAGTGCAAAAATGATGATAGGACTTATTAGACTGTAATATCAGCACAATCCTAAATCAGCAGAATTACAGTAACTAAATCCATGGGTGGATTGATCGAGTGGTTAACACTCCGGCCTTCCAAGCAGGCATTGGTCGAGGTTCGATCTCCGAAATCGCCGTACGCATGGAATATTAGAGAAAGTGTTTTTCTCCTGCCCACACAACTCCAACAACCCGGGTGGAATATAAAAGGGTCTGGGATTGGTGTTGCGGTATCTGTGCTGTAGCATTTAAGTGAGGTGGCACTATAAATGATACCGTTGAAAGCACGGTCCCACTACAAACAGAACACAATACATCTCCAGCACACACACAGGCATACACACATAGGGAGACTTAGCCATGTGGCACAGGACTAGTAGTCAGCGCCTGATAAGGCAGCTCCTGCGAATTCCTCAATATTGTATTGATTAATATATATATATGCTAATTGTATTGACTGTATAAAATTGTATATCTATGTACTGTAAAGCGCTTTAGAGTGGCTTAAAGCTTATGTTAGCTAGATAGGGCGCTATATCAAATGTTGTATATTATTTATTTATTATTATTATTATAAATAAGCACAGATGTTGTTTTCTGAAATAGACTAGTTATTTTATATACTACATGTACTTCAGATAATGTAGCAGAACAAAGCCTATATATCATACTTGCCAACTTTTTAAAATTTCCAGATTTCCAATCGGAGATTCTGAATGCTCAAAGTTAAAACCTATATAATAGTATAAAATGTGTGTATATACCCCTAGAGACAAAATAATCCCTCTAAAAGACATATTTTTAGTTCTAGCAAATTCACAGGTTGAAAATGTTAAATTTCTGGGTCCAAAATCTAGAGTCTCCATCCTAAATATGAAGGGTTGGCATGTATGCTGTATAGATTGATGAGTCAGATACATTAGAACATAATAAAGGTTTTCTTTCATGTATGCAAGTTAATTGTTGTCATTTATTGTCCCATGAAGGCTTGGTTTTTGTGGTATGTCAAGGCATTTGCTTTATATATATATAAAGTCATTGTTTAGCAAATGACGTGAATTAGTGGATGAAATTAGTGCAAAAGCCACCAGAATTGGAATACCTCTAAAATTAGTACATTTACAGTACTTAATTGTTGTACTCATTTGAAAAAGTGCATGAATAGGATGGGCCCTGACCTCATTCACCCCTGAGGTCACATTTGAACTTTACCAAATCAATGACTTAATTGGCAAGTCCAGTTTAGATACCGGCATGTAGGGGTGAATGAGTTAAAAAGTGTATTAACTTGACAGTGCTTGAATTTGTTCATTATCAATTTTCCTGGAAAAAGTCTTGAATTGAACGGAAACGTTGCTGAAGGTCATTACATTTACGTTGTATCAATGGGCTAGTAAATAATGTTTGAACATATGCATTAATAAAACAAAGCAGTGACAATTTTTCAAGTACCAAGTAATTGAAATAGGGAAGAAGATCTTATCTAGGTTGTCAAATTTTCAGAGCAGTTTACTCTTTTATAAAGAGAAGAAAGGGCTGTCCAATTTAATTTTTTGAGTGTTAGCGCACAGGCAGATTTTGTAAATTCTACCAGCCTGAACTATATTTTGAAAGGAAATATTGAACATTTTAACCAGTCCTTGATGTAAAGCTAAGGGAATTGTATGCCCCTGGGGGTAGTCCTTCTTTAGGTATATATATATAGATTGGCAGGACTCTGTAGGGCAAAATGGAGGTAACTATTTAAAAGAATAATCTTTAAGTGGAGGTAAAGGTATTAGAATTAGTACAAAACAAGTGTGTGCTGCAAGGATCAGTTATCCAATTTTCCAGTATTGGAAATTTTCTTTTTACCGACAAGCTTGATCCGGATCCAATTTTGTTAATGTTAAAAAAATATCTTTTTCTTTGGAGTTATTTCTTCGTGGGCTACCTGAGGTAAGGTTTGAGAGAACTCTGGGGCTTGAAATGTACCACCACCCGTAAAAGTTTGGGTTCAGCTGTAGAATGTGTCTGGCTTAGGAAAAAAATACTGAATATGTGTGAGAAAGTGTATACCACCACCCACTAAAGCTGACAATCAGCTGTACATTGTATTTTGCTTAGGAAAAATAAAAACACTTCATATGCTGCTAGGGAATATTTATGTGAAATTTGTAGGTTTCATAAACTGTATAGGTTGTATGGTGTATCCATTGATTGACATCTGTCCTTTATGAGTCAAGCTGATGGTGATTGTCTTTTAGAAGAAAAACAAAACCTTAAATAGCGTCGAACAGATAAAATGTTTCAGTACTGCATATGTTATTGGGCCATTTGTAGTCCATTTTCATGAAATATTC